TTTGGCCAGAAAGGAAGCTCTAGTAAGCCTGTGGACTGCAAAGATAGAGCTCAGGAGATCTTGATTACTGATAAGGAACAAAAGAACAGAAAAGATGGCCTGAGGGCATCACAAGAAGCAGCAAGTCTAGGGCCGGGGATATAGCTCAGTGGCACAAGTGCCTGCCTGGCAAGCATGAGGTCCTGAGTTTGATTCCCAGAAAAAAAAAAAAAAAAAAAGTGTAGAAGTCATAAACTACTTTTTTAAAAGTGCCAAGAAAAGTCCAGATCTAATCTCTAAGTTAGGAACAACACTCTGATACACTATTGTGATTCTCTAAGTCCTCCTGAGGCTGAGCCTGAGCCTGAGGGAGCTAACCAGTCAGTCAGCACTCCTTAAAGACTCAAGTATCTGAATAGTATAGAGAATTTTTCTTTGGATCATGAAATCTATTATCTCCTTTGCACAACCCTGTGCGGTATTATCTCCATTTATAAGTGAGGAAACTGAGGCTTTCTTCTACTCCAAATATGGGATGTGAGACCCCATATTTGCAGGGTCAGGGATATAGCTCAGGGCACAAGCACCTGCCTGGCAAGCACAAAGTCCTGAATTCAATTCCCAGTACAAAACAAAACCCCATTTTTGTTTTGTTTTTTTCTCATGGTGATCCTACGCCACAGCCTCCTGAGTGCTAGGATTACAGGCATGTACCACCACGCTTGGCTTTTTTTTTTTAAAAACATATTTGCTATGATTTCTTTTAATTAGTACATGTTTTATTACTAACATTTACATTGCTTGTGTGTTCATATTCTTTGTGTGATACATGTCCATAACACATCTTAATTACTTTTTAAATTCTCTTTCTCCTCTCTCCTTCCTCCCTCCATCTCTTGATCTCCTTCACTCCACTTATTTTGCTCTTTGTTTATAATTTGGGTTTCTTATATAAGAGAAACCGTATGATATTTAAGCTTGCGTGTCTGCTTTATTTCACTTAACGTTATAGTCTCAGGATACATCTGTGGCAGCAAACGCCCCCCTATACTTCAGTTTCTGTTAGTTGCCCAGGTAACAGTTCCTGTTACTTCTGTTTCTTAGAAACGACTTGTCCCTGTGATGCATAGCTGCTCACTATGATACATACTGTAAGAACCAATCAAAGACAGCCAAGTACTCTGCCTGTGTACTTGCCCTTTGCAACTCCACGAAAACCTCCCACCCTAGGCTTTTGTGGCCTGACATTTTTTCCTTGAGGTCAGTGGCTGTCAACATACAATAAATCTGCCTCCAACTCCTGAATGATGTTTTTGGTGTTTCTGTTTGCCGTTGCACATCCGTTTTGCTACAAATGACTCAAGTTCTTTCTTTATGGTACAGTAGTACTCCATTGTGTTTATTTATTTATTGTTTTTTTTTTTTCCAGTACCGGGAATTGAACTCATGACCTTGCACTTGCCAGGCAGGTGCTGTGCCGCTAAGCTAAATCCCCAGCCCCTATTTAAATACCACATTTTCTTTATATCCATCCACCTTTTGATGGACATTTGGGTTATTTCAAGATTTTTTTCTATTGTGAGTAATGCCCCTAAATTACATTTTTTTTTCTTTTAATTACATTTTTTAATACAGGGTTTTGTTGTGTTGCCTGGGCTGGTCTTGAACTCCTAGGTTTAAGTGATCCTCTGGCCTCAGCCTTCTGAGTAGCTGGGACTGTAGGCATGTAACATTGTACCGGGCACCTATCCTTTACGGTTGTCCTTGCTTTGCAGATATGTTCAAAATTGACTTTCATTTCTTTATATATAATTAATTTAGGTGTGTGTGTGTGTGTGTGTGTGTGTTTAGTGGAGAGTGGAGATAGGGAATTGTGTATTTTTCCCCGAGAGTGATTCATTACTTCCTAATTCAGTATTTGCCGTGACCTTACAGGATATAACTAATGCAAAAAATGAGGATGGATATTTATATAGGGATATATGGGGAAAAAAAAAAAAACCAAACATGAGAAAAACTTTCCTTTCTACCCCTTTCCTCTCTGGTTCCAGATTCAACCCAGGACCACACATTGCAGTTTCTGTTTTTAGTCTCTATTAGTGAGCTTTCTGTTACGGTGACAAAATACCTGAGAAAATCAACAAATCAACTGAAAGGGGGAAATATTTATTTTGATTGATGGCTTCGGAGGTTTCATATCATGGTCCACAGGCTTCCTTGTTTTTGGATCTAGGCAGAACGTCACAGTGGGGAATAGGTGGTAGAGCTAAGTCGCTTATGTCATGGCATCCAGAAGCAAAAAGAGGAAGCAACCAGGGCCCAGTGTACCCTTGAAGGGCACACACCCCCAGTGACCTAACTTCTTCCTACTAGGTCCCACCTCCTAGAGTTTCTACCTTCTCTCAATAGTGTGATCTGCTGGTGACCAAGTCCTTAACACTTGAAAGCTTTTGGGAACATTGGAGATCTAAACCATAACAATCTCCTGCAATTTGTAACTCTTAGTGTGTCCTTATCTTTCAGGACCTAGACTTTTTGAAGAGTTCAGACCACCTAATGTCTGAGAATTTTTCTCAGGTTGCATGTGTTTATTATTATTCATTATTCAGGTTATCTATTGTAGCCAGGAGTAGCCACAGAAGTGATCCTGTGTCCTCAGTGTACCGCATCAGGAAGTACATCATGTGAATTGATTCCATTGTGGGTGGTGTTAACGTATTTTTAGCACTGGATTAGGTGGTGTCTGCTGTTTCTCCAAAATAAAGTAATAAATATTTTAATGGAGAGATATTTCTTGGGACTATGTTAGAATCCTATTTTATCAAACTACCTTGAACTTATTTTGCATTCATTGATGATTTTTGTCCAGATCCATTGTTACTTTGATGCTTCCTAAATGATGATTTTATAATTCTTCCCTTTTAAGCTTGTTAGTCAGCATTCTGCTGTACAGTAGAGCTTTCTGTTCTCCTTCACGTAATTATTTATTCACTTATTTGCTTATATAAGTATGGATTTATGGATTTTTACTTTATCATTGGAGTTTTTTTTTT